TGATGACCTGGCGCTGCCGCTGGTCTACATTGCATGATGATGTGGCGCTGCCGCTGGTCTACATTGCATGATGATGTGGCGCTGCCTCTGGTCTATCATCGCGTGATGATGTGGCGCTGCCTCTGGCCTACATTGATGTGGCTCATGCCACTTGTCTTGATTGCTGACGTGGCATTTTCCACGCTGTCTACATGAGGTGACTGGTTGCGAGGGAGGAGGAAGATCGGGATCTGTGGAGGATTGGAACGAGATACTTACCTCAGGCTGGCGTCAATATTGCGAGATACTGGCTGTCTTCATAGTCTTCATGAGAGAGTGGTGCCACGTGGTACTTCTGTGATACGGGGACTTATCAGACTTGTTATTATTATTTGATTGATGACGTGGAGGGAGAAGAAGCCCGGAGAAGGAGTGGGATTTGTTGGGTTACTATTGTGTGATCTGTGACTACTTCTCCCACCTTCTTCCTTGTCTATCCTCCCTCCTCTCACCTCGTCTATTGATGACAAGATACTGTTACGAATATTATTTTCACGTTAACTGGAGACGTTGTACAGATCTGAGACTACTGGAACGTCGACGTCTACTGAGTATCTTCCTGACTGGGTTCATTACATAAGTGCCGCAGGCCTACTCCCCGCTACTTGAGTGTTTTCCCGCTGCAACTCTCAAAGTCACAGTACCACCCCGCATGTCTCCTAACACACAAGTGCCCTGTCGGGCCACACACACACTCAGACCGACAAGTGCTCAGACAGACACACGAACCAGCAATCACACACACACACACACACACACTTAAAAAACTCACCAGAACGCGGGAATCTCAGCAAGGCATTCATTCTGGGGGCAAAACTCAGAGGTCAGCAGTGCTCTCAATCTGTGTTTTGGCAGGTCAATACAATATAGTTCATATAATGAATATATACATATATATATATATATATATATATATATATATATATATAAACAGTTTGTCACAGCCCCTCGTTTGTTGTCCTCTTCTCTCTCTCTGCCTACGGTTTACCGGGCAGTTCTGTTTGTGACGATATATCGTCACAAACAGAACTGCCCGGTAAACCGTAGGCAGAGAGAGAGAAGAGGACAACAAACGAGGGGCTGTGACAAACTGTTTCGTCGGAGTTTCACCGACTCATCAGGAGGCTGAACCCTCAACAGTCTGTAGAATCCCCTCACTGATTACACTGTAAGTGATATATATATATCGTCACAAACAGAACAGCCCGGTAAACCGTAGGCATATATATATATATATATATATATATATATATATATCGTCTATATATATCGTCTATATATATAGATTATATCGTGAAACAGAACTGCCAGTAAACTGTAGGCAGAGAGGCAGACGAGGACGGAAAAGGGGCTGTGACAACTATTTCATCGGAGTTTCAACTCACTGTATATATATAAATGAATGGTTTCAGCGTCCTCTTCATGTTTGTCTTGTCCATTTTTATTTTTATTGTTTGTTTTCGCAAAGTGCGCTCTTTTAGTCCATAGATATGACGATATATATATCGTCAAACAGAACTGCCCGGTAAACCACAGGCAGAGAGGGAGAAGAGGACAACAAACGAGGGGCTGTGACAAATTGTTTGGTTGGAGTCTTACCGGCTCATCAGGAGGCTGAGCTCTATATATCGTCAAACAGAGCTGCCCGGTAAACCGTAGGCAGAGAGGGAGAAGAGGACAACAAACGAGGGGCTGTGACAAACTGTTTCGTCGGAGTTTCACCGACTCGTCAGGAGGCTGAACCCTATATACATATATTATATATTATATATTATATATTATATATTATATATATTTATTATATATATTTATTATATATATATGTGACGATATATATATATTATATTTATATATATTATATATATACAACTTCCGCCCGAAGGAAAGAAAAACTAAGCCCTAGAATTTCAACCTCATCAAGATTCACTTAAGCTGAGGTCATATTTAATTTTTCCCATGTGCTCCAGCAACAGGTATGCATTGCGATACCGACGGGCCTAGCTCTGCTGGTACACCCATGAACTGTTGAAATGCAGACCTGAGTTCAAATCCGGATGAACGAAATCAAATCATTTCTGAACTACCTAGGGCCAGTCAGTTCAACAATGGTATCTCTTGGCCGTCACCCTTTTTCTTTTGGAAAAAAAGGTAAGCACTAGGATGAGAATAGAGATCTGGATGAGTACAGACTTGTCTTATCCGTACGCGCTTCATACTCTTTCGCATAGGATTCTGACACCTTTTCTGGGGCAAATCCCCCCATCATGTTGTTTCCATTTGAGACAATCGTCCCACTATGACAATCATCTGAAGAAGAGCCCGACCTTTCCCCCTCCTCGGGCAATGTGCTGAGGGCGTCTGGATCTTGTTTGAGCTTCTTCTTGATTCCATCAAGCATCAGCACAATTTTCTTCATCTTTGGCCTCTTTGTTGCGTCATCCATGGTGCACCGATACCCCAGTTGTGCGACATCATGCATCGTCACCTTTTCTGTCGGTGTAAGACCAGATACTAGACGAGGATCGAAGAAGCCTGTGGCCAGCCGATCGATGTGGTTCACATCCGAGTCAACGGGCTTTTTGGCAGAGAGCCATTTTCGCGACCACTGAACAAGATTGACGGCGCCAACGTCACGCCCATCTGCGGAAATCACTTTCTCCACTGCCTTCCTCCCCGTCACCAACTCCAGAAGAACAACTCCGAAACCATAGACATCACTCTTTGGCGTCACTTCTCTGTGACAGGCATATTCTGGTGCCATGTAGCCCGGAGTGCCCGTACGAGCTAGAGTACGGACAGTCATCCCCTCTTCATCACCACAAGTCAAATCTGATTCAGGGACATAGCTAGCATCAAGTTTTGCAAGCCCAAAGTCAATTATGATTGCACGCATCCTCCTGGACCCCTCTGTTCGTTCTATCAACACATTGTGGCATTTGATGTCGCGGTGCACAACCCTTGGTTTCACCTCATGGTGCAGGTACCGCAAACCAGTGGCCACCTGCAGCGCAACCGACAGACGTTCTCCCCAACAGAATTCTGTCTTTGCTGTGTTTTCTGTGTTCAATTCACCTCCTGCTTCTGCTACCGATGAAAAAGAAGGATTGTCACAAGTGCTGGAAGCGGCGTCCGTAATCGTCTGTGACTTGCTCCACCTTGATTGTGACTCATCCTCCCTCAATTGTGACTTGTTACTCAAAACTGACCTCCCTGCACGTCCGTGCAACCTATCATGCAGACTGCCACCTGTGACAAACTTGTAGATAAGGATGCCGTGGCCTCCCTCCTTGCAATACCCTATCAACCGGCACACATTCTCGTGCCTAAGGCGGCTCAGCATTATGACCTCTGCACGAAATTGGCTGTACTTCATTTCCGTCAACTCCCCTCTCATACGCTTAATGGCAACATCCTTTTGCCGAGCGCCAACCCTCAGCGATGCCCTGTACATGTCGCCGTATCCCCCTCTCACACCGTTCAGGAGATGCTGCCCCCCAAAGTTGTTTGTTGCTTCCATCAGCTTGGCAAGTGAGAACTCCCTGGTGCCATCAAGCCTGATGTCATATTTGTCTACCACTCGCGCGAGATCCTCAGCAGTGTTCATCTCGTCAAAGCTGACGCTGTCTGAGGCTTCCCCCCAGGACCAGGAGTCGATATCCGCGTTGTCTTCTGGATTGACACTCTTTTTCAGAGTCGCTGGTCCCTTCGCTTGCGGCAGAGGGACCCCCAACTGAGATTCTTGACCCTGCTGCTGGCCACCCTTATGGCACTCACATAGGCGTCTCCGGTAAAACAAGACAGCCAGAACAATAGCGATGAATGTTCCCGATGTTAAAGTTACAGTAAGTATAATAACCCAGTAGTTTTTTTCTGGGGCTTTCGGACATTGATGAAGAAGAGATTTGTTCAAGACGAGTCGGAAAATGTTACTTCCATTGGTCCCTGCATACATGAAGTTATCGTACTGCGAAAGAGTCAGTGCTGTGAAGTTCAGCGGAGAGCTCGCGTTAATGAAGGCAACTGTCGTGACATTCAGTACTTCCCCATCCTTGTGCCGTAATGGCAGCCAACGGATTGCTCCACCATTCTTACCATCAGGAGCTGCTTCAGCAACAAACAAGTTACAGCAGTCTGTTGTTAGTGCCAAAGCCGTTGGTCCATATAGTGTTGCATTTTGTGGAGGTCCATCAACGCTGCTTGGCACGGTTGAGTTCTGGATTCCAGCTATTGTTGTTGTCGCGCCCGTCTTAGTATTGATCTTCCTCACCACATTATTATCTGTGTCAGCAACATACAAGCTGGATCCGCACTTGGAATACGACCGCGGCCCTATTATCGGTGACTTAAAGCGAACATCCTGAGGTGCGTCGCTATTAACATACCCGGGCGTGGGAGTGGAATCAATCGGTCCGGCAAGTCTACGTACTGAGTCCGACGGTGCTTGAAAAGGATCGTCATGTCCTTCTATTATGATAATTCGGTACCTGGAAGCTACAAAAAACGTTGGCCTTTTTGGATCCGGCCTCAACGCAAAACGGACAGGGGAAAGAGTGCTGTTATTCTCAGACCTATACACTTTCAAAGTTCTATTCTGCAGCTGACCTGACGTCAGGTTCATTTTCCAGAACAAGGAGTTATCGTTATCTGCGATGAGCAAACTCAAACTTGTCTTGTCTTCAAGCACCACCACCCCATACAGTTCTGAACCATTGACGGTTTCGGGTGCTATGATGTTGGAGATGTTGAATCCACCTGACTCCAAGGGAGCAGCTGACTTGACACTGGAAGAACACACCCCGCCAGTCGTGTTCTCCGGACAAGCCCTTTCCACATAGTAGACTGTGTTCGTGTCTGCAGCGACATCCACACCCCGAATCTCGTGACGATAACCCTCTGAATGACTATCGCTATCTGCAAGGATATCGCTAACATTCCCCAGTAGTATGCGCGTGTTCACTAGCTCAACTCCTGCCTGTACCCTCATCTTTCGTCGGTTTGATGGCTGATATGTGCTATGAAATGGCATCCCTTGGAAGGAGTCAACTGCAACACCTCGACTCCACTCCTCAACTTGCATAATTTTTCTCGTGAGAGACACGTCATGTAAAGCCATTCCGATGTTGCTACCCCAGATCAATGAAATACACCATACCACCACAAGCTGCACATGTAGAAAAAGGTGGTGTATATTTCCCATGATTTCGGCAAGAGTGTAAGGAGGGAGGTTGATGAGAACTACAGCTCTCTTCTCCTTACAGTCTCCTTCCGCTCTGTGTATCAGGATGCAATGCTCCCACTCGTACCTGCTATACTCCCGCAAAGCCTTGGAAGCAATCACTGTCTCCTTTTGCTCAGCGTATCAGGATGCAATGCTCCCACTCTCACCTGCTATACTCCCCCAAAGCATTGGAATCTATCGATAAACCATCTTTCTCGTGTGCATCTCATCTTTCCATATCAACATTACCTGCCTGCCAAGAGTGAACACCCACAGCACCAACGAGGACAGCAGAAACCCGTGTCAACCTATAAATGAAGACAGTCCAGCACCAATGAGGACAGCAGAAATCTCTGCCACTCTATGAAGGAGCCTAGAAGAATAAACAACAACACAGGTATGCTATGACATACATCAGGTCATTCACTGAGATGAAAAAAAAGTACTTGACAGGGAGGGATGGTCAGCATGAAGCTGAAAAAGCACAGTTTCTTGGCAAGAATGGCACTCATAATAATCCCCAAACCAAAGAACAGTATCAGGATTACAAACAGATTGGGCTCTGTACAGTACCGCTGAGATCCAACGGATGATGAGGGGCTGGCCCCATCGGTGCCATGTTTGTGCTCAGAGAGAATGATTTGAGTCACAAAACTGGCACGGTGCATGGTTTGTCAGCATATGCATAGCACCAGTGGCGCCCAACATTTCCTCAGATCGAACAGAACATCTTGAAGTCGGACGTTTTCTCTCCCTGCTAACGTCCCCTTGCTGTACGACCTAAGGGGCCGACAGCCTTCCGTTCGACTGCACCGAACCCTTCTACTATTATTTGACTTGAAATGCACTACGTAATACGTATCTGTCATGGAAACCCCCCATTATCACGAATGCAGCAATTCCAATGACGAGGTTCCTTGTTCTTCATGTCCAACATCTGATCCCTTCATGCTGCAATGGCCCCAGGAATACGATGAAGAGTACGAGTCTCAGGTTACTTGCTTCAGCAGTTCAGCTTACTGAGAACAGCAGAAGTATGCTGTTCTGGTTATGCCAACCACCGATTCAGTTCCTTGATGAACGATTCTGATGTGGTGGATTTGCCAGACCCTGGAGGATGCAGCAATGCACTTTATCCCCTTGCATTCACAGTCTACAGAGACGCCATTGTGGGTTCATGAAACTCCTGGAGACAAAGGAGTTTCATGGTAGTGACAAAGAATATAGACAACGGGTCATAATGACGATCAGTACAGTGACACAGCAACAAGCAATGGCCAACGCCATATTCGTTTTGAATGCCTCCAAGCCATTCATACTTACGCTACTGAAAATTTGTTGCTGCCCATGTTGTAGCAATTTCACCTAGGAGGTATGAGCCACTCCTACAGGACGTCCTTGCACAATATGTAAACCACCCGTACGGCACGTTTCCCAGCCATTTTTCTCCAAAACGGCTGCATGCTAGCCACAAATTTTGGGGGTCGGTTGCCACGGCACAAAATGGCTGGCGGAGCCAGCCAAAAGCAGGCACGTGCCGGTTCTTTGCGGCACACAGGGCGTTTCGGGCCCCGGGAAAAAGTGGTTCATGACTATTGGTGGTTCAAGGCTGTAGGCTGAACAGCGGGTGCAAGTTATAACTTGTGCAAGGAAAATGAACAGAAGCGAGATGACAATATTCAGATTGCACAATCGCATTGAAAGCCAGATCGTATCACAGTGTTCGGAAAGTACCATTGCACCAACATGTCACCAATGGAGAATAGTAGCACTGAAAGCCAATGTCAATGAGAGCTTGCTCTCGCCACCACCAACATATGTATCCAGTCCCTATCTCCCTACTTGGCGCTCGGCGCCCAGCCTACTCCCTACACAGCTGCTACTAGCCTACTAATTGACAATGCAACTGTTGACGTCAGCAGCCTCCGAAGTACTTGAAGATGTCGCCCATGCAGAACCATCGCCAATACCAGGTATGTGCCCTCACATCATCATCATCATCATCCTTCTCTCTCTCCCCTGACTCTCTTCCACGTCTTCCTTTGTTGAACACCCGAAGACCACCTCTGCGCCTCACTGTACATCCAAGCCCGCCAGCTATGGAGGCTGGGCTATGGTGCTGCCCTCAGCAGCCCCCTGCTCCCTGCACGACCGCACGTGCTAGCACCTCGCCTCTCAGCGCTAGCAGCAGCCCACGAGCTTCAGCTCCAGCAGCGCTGCCGCCAGCATGCGAGTGCCCGAATGCCTGGCCAGGCAGCGAGCTCTTTCCTATATGGAAAGAGCCTGCCTCATTCGGCAGCCTGGCTGGACTGGCCTGGGCCCAGAAGCTTCCGGTAGGCCCCAGGATGCTGCGCCTCTCTTGCAGCTACTGGGTCTCATTCGGTTGGGCCTCCCAACTGTCTGTGTATGAGGCTGCCATTCTCGTACAGGGCCTGCATCATTTCGGAAAGGCCTGGAAGGCCGTCGAAGGTCTTGCTGCTCGGCCTGTGTTTTCCTCAACCAACTGACGCGACGAAACTGCCTGAACCCCAATTTCCCCAAATACGAAATTGACAGCCGAGGGCCTCTCGTAATTTGTTAGGCCCGCCTTCACTTAGAGCGGGCACAGATGCAACAGGGGGCCCTTAGGCCTGCCGAGGACCCAGATCCTCGCACTTGTTATGAGGTCATACAATTCGTCACCATAACAGTTACTGCATATGATATATGTGTGAGTAGGTTGTTGTTACGTCTATAGGTTCCCTAGCAGCACAATCAGGACAGAGATTGAGGTGACCGTGGGAAATACAGAATGGAACCAACGATAATGAAGAGTAAAATAGGGAGGATGTCACGTACAGCAGCAATCCACAGCTGGCCAGTGGCAAAACAAGCAAGGATTAAACTGCAACAAGCAGGTGCAGCCAGCGCAGCTCCGCCCGCGAAAAAAGTCAGGAAGCAACCCCAATGAAGAATCTCACTTCGCTCTTTCTGTCTCTGACTCTATGTTTTCT